GTGTGTGTGTGTGTGTGTGTGTGTGTGTGTGTGTGTGTGTGTGTGTGGAGAGCAGAGGTGCAGTATAACAGAATGGACTGAGACATGGGGAAGAGGAAATGGAAAGAGTGAATATAACAAGAGCTTTTTCAAGAAATTTTGCCTCCAAAGGGAGTTGGGAGATAGGTAGTGGAAGGGGAATTGAGGGAGAATTTTTTTTTTTTAATGGTAGAAACTCAAGGATGCTTAAATGTTGATAGGGAGGGTCCAGTGCAGACACAAATGTTAAAGATTTAGGAGAGAAATGGATGCATTTTTAAGTCCTCCCGCTCTGCCTCAGTTCCCCTATTTGCTACGTCAGTGGATTTTCTTTACCCAAATCCAGGGTAGTGACCTTACTGAGTCATGAAATCCCCAAGAAGGAAAGAGAGGTATTTTGCCTGGAGGAGGGAGAGTTCTAGGGTCTAAGGGCAGGGGTGCTTTCTCTGAATCTCTAAGACCAGTAGTAAATCATACAGAGGGGTAAAACACAGAACAGCTGCTGCCCCAGGAAACCGAAGACCAGATCACAGGAGCTACCCAGTGGGACTCCTGGCACTCTATCAAGCACAGCTCCTCTGGTACCTCACTCTTGCCTGTAATGCCTCTGCAAATTAGATGTCCCTGTACCCAGCCCCTTTCCTGTCCTCTGGCAGACTGTACAGAACTGCTTGAGAAAAACTGCCAGACTTGTGGGAAATCTAGTTTGTCCATCATGACTGAGTTCCATGGCCACTGGTTCCTCTCCACCCAGAACATGGTAAACAAGCTCTCTGTGACTTTGAAAACACCGGAGAGCTTTCTATCCACACACCCTGAAGATGTAACCCCCAAAGAATGACTTTCACTTACGGGGAATTTTCCTTGCAGTCTGTGCACTGAGCATGGCAGCACTAAAACAGACATCTGCTGGTTTTGCCCACCCAGCATCCATCTCCCCCTTTCAGATAACAGCTCCCCAGTTTTCCTTTGGGAAACCACCTCTTCTCTACTGGGAGGTAGCTTCAGAGATGGTCACATGACCCAGGCCTGGCCAATCAAAGCATTTCTCTTGACCACAGTGATTGATTCAGAGATGAGCATATGATGCAAGCCAAGACAATTAAACTCAATCCTGGGACTTTTACTGAAGCTACTGCAAATGGGATACCTTCTTTTCTCCTAGAGATGCTAAGCTTGTAATTCCTGGGGGTCATCACTGAGCATGAGGGAACAGCCTGCCCGAGAATAAAACCAACGCAGAGGAAAGCAGAGTTTAGAGCAAAGAAAGACTGATATTGATGATATGACTTGAGTACCTGGATCCAGTTATGCCTGAAATGGAGGCCTACCCTAGAACATTGCACTTTCAGAGGCCTATAAATTCCTCTCTTTTTAAAAATGTTTACTTATTTACTTTTGAGAGACAGAGAAAGAGAGAGAGCACACAAGCAGGGGAGGGGCAGAGAGAGAGAGAGAGAGGGAGACAGAATCTGAAGCAGGCTCCAGACTCTGAACTGTCAGCACACAGCCTGACACAGGGCTCAAACCCACGAACTGTGAGATCATGACCTGAGCCGAAATCAGACGTTCAACCAACTGAGCCATCCATCTAGGTGCCCCAAATTCCTCTTTTCCTTAAGTCAACTTGAACTGGATTGCTGTCACTTCAAACTCAAAGAATTCTGACTAGTAGCAACATTAAGTGCTTAGAAAAGCCCAGGGGATATAAGCCCAAATCCTTCAATCAATCCTGAATTCCTGGTAAACCAGCATTTACTGAGTGCCTTCTGTATGCAGAACCCTGTGCCAGAACCTGAAAGAAATACTGTACAGTTACATATAGCACTTCATCTTTGTCTGCAGCTGAGAGAAGCTGAAACATTCAGAGCACAAGGTAGCCAGTACCTAGGAGTGGCTGATGGTGGTGAGGGTGGGGGAAGGATAATTAACGTGCTAGGGCAATCAGAGAAGGTGTGCTTAAAGGCACACCTTTAAAGACAAGAAAGATGGGGGAGGACATTTTGGGTCTGGAGGTTCATGTGACAGGGGGATGTTTTCTCAAATAACTTTTCCTTCTTGCTCCCCTATCTCCAAGGTAAAATGCCTGTCATTGTTATTCTGGTCGTTACAATCAAATTCATGCCTCTATACAATTCCCTTAGCTCCCCCCTCTTTGTGACACTGTGTGTTGCTTCCCAACTATGAGGAATATTGAAATTGAAATTAGCCAGTAGTCTCAGTTTATTTTTCTTCCCTTTCCTCTAGCAACTAAATTGAAGAAATATTCATTGGTTTCCAGTTGATAGGTAAAAGCAACATGTGAACTTATCCTATCTTCCATATACATACTCCACCGTTTCCCAACTTTAAATTTTGTTCCGTAAGAGCATGATCACAATGTACAGCCATTACATATTATATTGTCTCCGTGACAGCCACGGATTCAGTGTGAGCTCTACAGGTGACTATTAATTTAATGCTTACTCCAGCCCTTATGATAATACCTCTCCTGTCAGTTTGGTTGCCAGTAGCCTGTTCTCTAGTAAGTCCCTCAGGCAAGGCTCATGAGAAGTAAGATTTCCTGGCTTCTTGTATGTTCGTAATAGTTGGCTGATGGCTTTCATACTTGAACGTCAGTATGGCTGCATATAATATCCTTGGTTCTCTTTTTCTTTTCCAGAGAATCTTAAATACATTGCATAGTTTTCCCCGGCACAGAGTGAAATGTAGAAAAGCCTGAATCCATTCTTCTCACTTACTCTTTTTGTTTGAATGACCGACATTCAGGTGTTTGTTTGTTTTTTTCTCTCTTTAACGTTCAGTCATTTTATTAGAATAGGTCTTAATGTTGACTAGTCTGGGTTGATTTTCCTAGGCTTCTGGTGTACTTTTTCAAGATAAAGTTCAAGTCTTCTCTTTTATTTCAGGAAAAAAAGAATCCCTGAATTATTGTTTTTAGTATTTATTTTTCTTCCACTGCTTTGGGTTTCTTCTTGGCATACTGATGTATACGTTGGATCTTTTTTTTATATCACTTTTTCTTTTATTCTTTAAATTATCTCTTCATTTCTGACTTTATTTTTTTTACTTTCCTCTTTTCCATCCCCTATTCACCTTATGATATTACCCATGATGTCTATTCACCTCTTTAGTCCTTCTATTTAGTTATTCCTCCCAAAATGTTTTGCCTTTCTTAAGCAGTACTTCCTGTCAGCCTTATTTTCAAATGTTCTTTTTGTCTCACAATTTCACCTATGCTGTTGTTTTATCACACCTGTTGGTTCTTCATTTCTTTCAGCTTGTTTTGAAATATTAAGTTTTAGCATTC